TAGGAAAAGCAGATATTGGTGCTCATCTTGGCTTTCCAAAGCCACCAGCCCCAGCAGAGGGAACCACAAGCTACAGATTGCTGATAACTCCAAACAGGTTATTTAGGGCCAGTCAGAAACAGTGTCTGACAATGTACTGCACTATAGATTGAGAAGTGTAGCAGATGTACCTAGTACATAGACACAAACCAAACAAGCAGCCAAAATGGAAGACAAAAAACAAGCACCAAATTAAAGAACCAGAGAATTATCCTGAAGAAGAGCTAAATAAAATGAAGATAAGAAATTTATCAGATACAGAGTTCAGAATAATGATGGTAAAGATGCTCAACAACATGAGAAAAGATAAAGTAACTATGAAGAATGACATACCAGTAATAAACACAGTGGAAGGAATACACAGCATATTAGTGGAAGCAGAGGATTGAATCAGTGAATTAGAAGATAGGGTAGAAAAAAAAGTCAATCAGAGAACCAAAAAGAAAAAAGCAATTAAAAAAAGGAGGGCAGCTTAAGAGACCGTTGGGACATGACATGTAACCATATTCACATTGAGAAGAGTACCAGAAGGGGAAGAAAGTGAGCAAGGAATACAGGGTGTCCCAAAATTCACGCAAGATTTGAACTTTGTGTGAGCAATAACAACAACAACAACAAAAATAAAAGCCTAATTTTACTTGGTTTATTGAATCAGATTCTAATATCAGTTGCCCTTTGATTTCAATCCCTTCAATTTGACAAGCATTACCAAGTACCAATTATGGCCCAGGAGCAGGGACAATGAAGACCAATGAAGACCACGGCTTTGCATATGTGCCAGCAAATCTGTGGAGGCCATTTTCCCGATGTGCTATTCCATACATAACCCTATACTATATACTTTATGAATCAATAAGAAATTTACAATTTTTAATTATAAACCTGTGTTTTCTATCAAAATTACTTCTTGCGTGAATTTTGGGACACCCTATAGATAACGTCATTGAAGAAACAGTGGCAGAAAACTTCCATATCCTGGTGAAGGAAAAAGTCACACAAGTTCAGGAGGCACAGAGAGTCCCAAGAAAGAATAACCCAAAATAGGCCCTTGCCAAGACACATCATAATTAAAATGCCAAAAATTAAAGACAAAGAATCTTAAAGCCAGCAAGAGAAAAGAAAACTGTTACCTACAAAGGAGCTCCCATAAGGCTGACACCTGATTTTTCATCAGAATCTCTATAGGCAAGAAGCGAATGGCATGAAATACTCAAGGTAATGGAAAGCAAGGATCTGAAACCAAGATTACTATCCCTAGCAATGCTATCATTTAAAATAGTGAAATAAAGAGCTTCCCAGACCAAAAAAAAAAAAAAAAAGGCTAAAGGACTACATCACCACCAAGACAGCATTACAAGAAATGCTAAAGGACTGCTGTAATGAGAAGAAGAAATATAGAGAGAAACATAGGCATACAGAATTAAAATGGCAATAAATAAGTACCTATCAATAATAACCTTAAGTGTAAATTGATTAAATGCTCCAATTAAAAGATATAGAGTAGCTGAATGGATACAAAAACATGACCCAATTATATGCTGTCTACCAGAAACCCACCTCAGAACAAAAGACTCACACAGGATCATAGAAAAGGGATGGAAAAAACTTTTCCATGCAAATGTAACAACAAAAAAAAGGGTTAGCATTACTCATATATGACAAAATAGACTTCAAAATGAAGGCCATCACAAGAGACAATTCAGGTCACTACATAATTCTGGATGGATTGATCGAGGAAGAGGATATAACTCTGGTAAACATGTCTGCACCCAATATAGGAGCACCTAAGTATATTAAAAAAAAAAAGTCTGGAGAACTTTAAGAGATAATTCGACAGCAATACGGTAATAGTAGGGGACTTTAATACATCGCTGACTTCACTGGATCTTCTGGACAAATAATTAAAAAGGAAACAGTGACTCTAAATGACACACTGGATAAGATGGATTCAATTGTCATTTATAGGACATTTCACTCCAAAGCTGCAGAATATACATTCTTCTCAAGTGCACATGGATCACTGTATCATTCTCAAAGATAGACCACATCTTAGGACACAAAACAAATCTCTATGAATTCTGGAAGATTGAAATCTTATCGAGTACCTTCTCAGATCATAATGGGATGAAATTAGAAATCAACTACAGTAAAACCATTCTAACACATGGAGCTAGATAGCATATTATTAAACAATGAATGGGTTACTAATGAGATCAAGAAAGAAAGAAAAACTTCCTGGAGTCCTAACTGGTTTGGCTCAGTGGATAGAGCGTTGGCCTGTGGACTGAAGTGTCCCAGGTTCGATTCCGGTCAAGGGCATATACCTTGGTTGTGGGCACATCCCCAGTAGGGAGTGTGCAGGAGGCAGCTGAATTGATGTTTCTCTCTCATCAGTGTTTCTAACTCTCTATCCCTCTCCCTTCCTCTCTGTAAAAAATCCATAAAATATATTTAAAAAACAAAACAAAAAACTTCCTGGAAACAAATGAAAATGAATGCACAACTACTCAAAATCTCTGGGACATAGTAAAAGCAATCCTGAGAGGGAAGTTCATAGCACTACAGGTCTACCTCAAACAAGAAATATTAATAATAAAATATTTAACCTAAAACTTAAAGGATTAGAAAGAGAACAAAAAGAGAAGCCTCGAGTAAATAGGAGGAAGGAAATAATAAAGAGTAGAGCAGACAAAAATGACAGAGACTAAAAAAAGAACATACAAAAGATGCATGAAACCTAGAGCTGGTTCTTTGAAAAGATAAACAAGATTGATTAGCCTTTAGCCAGACTCATCAAGAAACAAAGTGAGAGGACCCAAATAATTAAAATCAGAAACAAAAGTTGTGAAGGAACAACTGACATAACAGAAATACAAAGGATTGTAAGAAAATACTATTAGCATATATATGCCAACAAGCTGGACAATGGGGATGAAATGGACAAATTCCTAGAAAAATACAATCTTCCAAAACTGAATCAGGAAGAATCAGAAAACCTGAACAAGCCAATAACAACTAAGGAAATTGAAGCAGTAAAAAAAAAAAAAAGTTCTAGCAAACAAAAGCCCTGGTGTGAATGTCTTCATGGGGAAGTTTTACCAGACATTCAAAGAAATACTTAACACCTATCCTCATCAAACTATTCCAAAAAATCCAAGAGGGAGGAATACTTCCAAGCTTCTTTTATGAGGCCAACATTATCCTAATTCCAATACCAGATAAAGATATGGGAGGTTTGAAGACAGAGGAGGAGTGAAATAAATATCTGTGAAACTTGGTGAATCCTAATGGCCTAACATCAATGGTCCATTTGAAACAAATAGTTTTGAATTTAAAATGAGACCACAAAATAGGTATTTTTATATAGGCATTTCAGCTAAATAGAGCATAAGCAAAGCAACTGGTTGGGATTTTTCCAGGGAAATAGGACAGTGAAAGAGCTGTAAGAGAATGCTAAGGAATCTAAGCCAGGTAAAGGTGAAGTGAATACGTGATGGGCTGAGGGAGTGTGAAAATATGGAAGAGTCACTGTGGTTGAATAGCTCTTATAGTCAAAATGCTAGAAGGAATGAGCTGAAAATGAAAAATAATAATTTAAATATGAGATTATGAATGAAGTGCAGTTATAATCTGTGGATGTTTGGGAAGGATGGATGAGAGTACATATCAAAGAACTAAGAGGTCAAGTTATTAGAAGTACCATTGTTTGTATGTTGAAATCCCAAAGAAAATAAGAGGAGTAGTAATAGAGGCATAGTAAATTAGATGCTATAATCTAGGAGTGGGGAGTAGAGATCTGGAAGTCAACTGATACCAGCAAGGAAGGGTAGAGCTTATATAATAGCCTGATGGCATGAACTTCAAAAAAACTAAGTAGTTTTAGGGAGAGTAGAGGATAATAGTTTGGCAGTAGTAATGGAGAACAGGAAAAAGTGCCTCACCTCAAACTTAGTGGCTTGAGGATGAGAAAGCAGTATCTTTGAGGATTTCAGTTCTAACTGAAAATAAGATGAAGGAGAAGTTCACTGAAGAGGTTGAATATGTAGCCTATTTTGCCGAAGATGGCCTGGGAGTTCCCGGGATCACAATGGACGTATATAAATGAATTGGGGGGTGGGTAACATATCAAATTAGAGGACTTTCTAAGACTAATAAGGGCAAGTCTTCATAAGTAGGAATGACCTGGGGGCCTTAGGCTTCTATGGAATGGGGTTAATGGGAATAATGCTGACAGTGAGATGACACTATGATTTGGGAGAGAAACAGGGGATTCACCTAACTGCCACCTCAGCTTTCATTTTCTGTGTTGGTAGAGGTAGGAACTCTGTCTCCATCTTTCCAAGGAGAAAAATATCTACCCCTTCATCTTATCAGTTAATCCTAGATATAGAAGAAATTAAAATATGATTTTGAAGCTTCATAGAGCTTACTCTGGCCAGAATAGCACTGGACAGGATTGCTATATTTTCTACATCCTATACCTATGGCAGATATTGCTAATCCAACTTGGCACTGTTTCTCCCTGACTCTGGCTATAGTTTTAGAATCCATTTCATCACAGTACTGGAAATACCAGCTACTAATCCATAGTAATTAATTATTCACTGAGTATGTCAGTTACTGTGCTGAGCATGTTTTATAGATATTACTTTAATTATTACAACAGCCCTATGAGGTTTTACAGATGAAGACACCAGTGACCAAAAATGTTAAGAAACTTGCTCAAGATCATAACAGCTGAAAAGCAGGAGAACCAAGATTCAAATACTGTTCTGCTTTCTTCCAAAAATCTCTCACTTAACCATTGTAATTTAATTATTGGAACTAATGATGAAATATCATTGCCATCCCTATGAGGTATTTGCAATTAATTTATTTTCAGGATCACCAGGATATACTAAAAAACAACAACAACAACAACAAAGAAAAATGAAAGATTATCTATGTTGATTATTTTGTAGGAATAAAGAGGGTAAACCCATAAGTGGGAAAGAGTTACAGAAGAATGTCAGTCAACCAAGAAAGGAAGAGTCAAGGAGTTCCTGAAGACGGTAATGAAGCAATCTTAAATAAATAATTAAAAGATAAGCAGCAACAAGAAAGCACATAATAGGATAATTGTGTTAAATTTTATAGAAAATTAGGATACTGGGAAGCTGTTAAGTTTCTCCAGGAAGAAACTTATTTAGTGTTTAGAAAAGGTATAACAACCTGAAAATGCAGGCCTATAATGAATAGTCATCAACTATAATTGCTATATTGTTGCTATGGTGGCAGTATAATTATAATATGAATGCCAGTGGTCTGGATAAAAACAATTGGGACAATCAAAATATTTATACTGTTCTATAAAGAAACAGGTACAACATTGCAGTAGGCTATTTTGAATTGTCTCTTATGATGGCCTTTGATTTTGGTTTTGTTTATAGTCAGAAAGGGAAAATTGCAAACCTAAATTTTCTTATGAAAAAACATACATTTGTAATGACTTCAAGTAAAGAAACATGACTTGTTTGCATTTAAATTTTTATGATATACATTATTCCTTTGTCTAGCTCTGGCTAACCAAGACACATCTTCATTGACCGATGTTGTAGAGCAAGTTGCAAAGCAACAACAATCACAAACATCAGAAATAGAAAAAAACAAAAAAGTTCTGTTTCGTTTACAGGTAACTGTTTCATACTGTCTTCTAAATGAGTCTTTATTTTCTTTAAAACTATATTAAATTAGTAACAAGTAAGTTATTGAGGATACTTAATTTTGTTAGTCAATTTTAAATGTATTTTTTATATTTACCTCTTTCTTAATTATTCTGTTATCCCTAAGTGAAATCTACTTGAGTATTCCAATTTTGTGGAAGATTTTATACACCCAATATACAAATATTCAACAGTGTAATTGCAACTGTAGTATGAGCATATGAAACCCAATGTCTCACATAGAATTATTTCAAATTCACTTCTACTTGATATTTTTTCCTAAAATGCTGAATTTAAGGAAGGTTAAGTTTTAAGCTAGTGGTTTGAAAGCTATGACTTGTGAGTTGCTAGTTGTCAGTGAACATTTTAAGTAGATAAGGAACATTTCTGTTTCTTATATTTCATAATATATTTATAATTCCACAGGGAATCCCAAAGGCATGTTTGGTTTTTGCTTATAGCATAATTAGGTGACAATATCCAGTTAATATAGCTAAAAAAGCAAAATGGAAATAGTACCTTCACTATGTGCTTTGTAAAGTTTTAAGAGCTGAACTGCCTAGTTTGAAAGATAAGATTTGCTACTTCCAGGTCTGTGATTTAATTTCTCTGTGCTTCTGTTTTCTCCTTTTAAAAATGGATATAATAATAGGACCTGCCTATAAGGTTTTCATGATGATTAAATTAATTAATACTTGTAAATATTATGTAAGATATCCTTGCTCGGGCCCCAGTGGACAGTATAGTTTCAATTTTGATATTGGCTTTAGATATTAATGCACCAGCAGAGATATGATGATAATTATACTATCACGGTAATATGTATTTCTTATAAATATTTGCATTACATTAGTCACTATTAGACAGAATACATGTTTACAATAGAATATAATACAAAAAATAATGTCTTTGATTTCTATAAAGACATTTTCTGTAACACTTCCCAGTCTTCAAAGAATGTCACAGATACTATTTCACTTATATTGAGGGCCTGCTTTTTATTAAGCATTTTGCTGAAGAGGGTCTATTTTTTAAGTTGCTCATTATCTTTTGAAGAGGGAGACAAAGAATTAAACAAATAATTACATGCAGGGAAGCAGTGTCAACAATAGAGGCATGAATATAGATTTAACACTGAAGGAGTTAGAAAGATATGTTCAGTTGAGTTTTAAAGGACAGTTAGAGTTCACTTCAATAATTGGGTGTATGAGACAGGTTTAAGAGTTAAGGGGTGAGAAGGGTAGTATTCCAGATAAAAAGAACCTGAGAAAATTCACAGAGGCCTAAAAAAGCATTAGTACGTTGACAGAATTATAAGTAGTTCGGTGATGGTATAGCATAGAGTATGTTTTAAGAAGTGGTGAGAGATGTATGTCATGGTATGAAACTTGGACTTTACTTGAAAGGTTTTGATGGGCTTTAAGCAAGGGAGCAAGTAATTAAATTTATATTTTAGAAGGAAAATTCTAGAAACGTCATAAAACACTTTTAACACAACAGCCATGCATGATTAAAACTCTCAGCAAATTAGGAATAGAAGTTCCTCACTCTAAAAAAGGGCATCTAAGCCCAACCAGTGTTGCTCAGTGGTTGAGTATTGACCCATGAACCAGGAGCTCATAGTTCAATTTCTAGTAAGGACACATGCCCAAGTTGTGGGCTCAATCCCCAGTAGGGAGCATGCAGGAGGCAGCTGGTCAATGATTCTCTCTCATCATAGATGTTTCTATCTCTCTCTTTCACTCCCTTCCTCTCTGAAATCAATAAAAACGTATTTAAAAAATAATAAAAAAGAGCATCTACATAAATCCTACAGCCAATTTTATACCTAGCTAGAGGCCCGGTGTATGACATTTGTGCACTGGGGTGGGGAGTCCCTCAGCCTTGCCTGTGCCCTCTCACAATCCGGTACCCCTCGGGGGATGTCTGACTGCCAGCTTAGGCCTGCACCTGCCACCACCGCTGCACTCACCAGCTGTGAGCCCAGCTTCTGGCTAAGTGGCGCTCCCGCTGTGGGAGTGCACTGACCACCAGGGAGCAACTCCTACATTGAGTGTCTGCCCCCTGGTGGTCAGTGCACATCATAGCAGCAGGTTGTTCCACCATTCAGTTGATTTGCATATCATGGTTTTATTATATAGGATAGTGAAAGACAATGTTTTCCTTCTAAGATCAGGAACAAGACAAGGATATGTGCTCTTGCCACTTTTCATTCTTTGGTACTAGTGCATTGAGCCACTGTAATCTTGGAAGAAAATAAAAAGCATCCACATTGAAAAGGAGGGAGTAAAACTTTTTATTCATAAGCATGATTATATTTAGAAAATCCCAAGGAATCTATTTTTTAAGAAGTTGTTAGGACTAATAAGTGAGTTTATTTTTTTATTATTTTTTAAAATATATATTTTTATTGATTTCAGAGAGGAAGAAAGAGGGAGAGAGAGATAGAAGCATTAGTGATGAGAGGGAATCATTGATCAGCTGCCTCCTGCATGCCCCAAACTGGGGATCAACATGGGCATGTGCCCTAACTGGGAATCAAATCGTGACCTCCTGGTCCATAGGTCAGCACTCAACCACTGAGCCACACTGGCCGGGCAATAAGTGAGTTTAGAAAGCTCATAAGATTAACTATGAAATCAGTTGTATTTCTATATATTGAAAGAAACAATCAGAAGTTAAAATTTAAAAAGCAGTGTCATTTACAGTAGCATCAAAACTATGAAATACTTAGGGGTAAATTTGACAAAGGTTTGTGTTATGAACCGAATGTTTATGTCACCCCAAAACTCACATGTTGAATCCCTAATCCCCAAATGTGATTAATTTTGGAGATGGGGCCTTTGGAAGGTAATTAGGTTTAGGGGAGATCATAAAGGTGTGGGGCCCTACTGATAGGATCAGTGCCCTTACAAGGAGAAACACCAGAGTGCTTGTTCTCTCTCCTCGCTCTGCCACATGAGGACCCAGTGAGAAGGTAAGGCAGGCAGAGTTCTCACTAGTATTGGGCCATACTAATGTCCTTTCCAGCCTCCAGAACAGTAAGAAATAAATTTCTGTTGTTTAAACCACTAAGTCTATTGTATTTTGTTGTGGCAGCCCAAGCAGACTTAAGACCATTTATAAGAGCTGTATACTGAAAACTGCAAAACATTGCTGAGAAAAATTAAAGATTAAAACAAATACTAAATGCAGACATATACCATTTTCACAAATCAGAAAATTCAGTATTGTTAACATGTCAGTTCTTTCAATTTTATCTACAGTTGAAAATCAATTTCGATAAAAATTCCAGCGGCTTTTTTTTTTTTTTGAGAAATGGATGAGCTGATTCTAAGTCATATGGAAATCCAAAGAACCAGTAATAGCCAAAACATCTTTGAAGAACAACAACAATGTTGGACATTCTTACATTATCTGATTGTAAAATTTATTATAGAGTACAATAATCAGGACAGTGTGATATGGCATAGATAGACATACAGTTCTATAGAACAGACTAGTGTCCAGAAATGCCCCACATATATCAATTGATTTCAAAGACGTGCTGTTATGGAGTGAATGTTTGTGTCCCCCCATGGTATGTGGAAGTGGAGCATTTGGAGATAATTAGGTTTATATGAGGTTATGAGGGTGAAGCCCCTGTGATGGGACTATAAGAAGAGAAAGAGACCCTAGAGCTGTCTTTCTCTCTCTCTCCCATTTGAGGACACAGCTAGAAGGTGGTTGTCTACAAGGCAGGAACAGGGCTCTCACCAGGGGCTGAATCCGCTGCACCTTGATCATGTACTTTCTAGCCTCCAGATCTATGAGAATTTAGTGTTTATGTTTAAGCACCCAGTCTATGGTATTTTGTTATGGCAGTTGATTAGAGCTAACACAGGTGCCACGGCAGTTCATTAGAGAAACAAATAGTGGAGGACAGCCATATGCAAAAAAAGTGAATCTCAACTTTCACCTCATACCACATACAAAAAGTAACTAAAAATGTATTATAGGCCTAAATGTAAGAATTAAAACTACACAGTGTCAGAGAAAACATAGGAAAAAAGCCTAGTTATGTTGGATTTGGCAAAGATATTTTAAATAGGACACAATTTTTTTTTTACATTGGATGTCATCAATTTTTTTTTAACCTCACCTGAGGATATGTTTTTATTGATTTTTAGAGAGGAAGGAAGGGAGAGAGAAACATTGATGTGAGAGAAACATTGATCAATTGCCTTCCATACCTGTCCTGACCAGGGATTAAACCCGCATCCATCCTGTGTATGTACCCTGACTAGGAATTGAATCCGCAACCTTTTGGTGTACGTACGGGATGATGCTCCTACCAACTGAGCCACTCAGCCAGGGCTCATCAAATATACTTTTTAAAGTTTTTGTTCAAAAGAAACTAATGAAAATGAATGTGAGATATATTTTCTGGTACCCTCTTGGAATTTGCATTGTCATAGACTGGGAGAAAATATTTAACAACATATCTGACAGTGTATGTGTATTTACAATATATAAAGAACTTCCATTATTTAAGAAGGCAAACAATTGAAAAATGGGCTAAATATTTCAATAGTCATTTCATCTAAGAAGTTATTATAAAAGACAAGCATGTGAAAAGATACTCAATATCAATAATTGTTAAGAAAATGCAAGTTGAAATTACAATGAGATAGCACTCAATACACACTAGAATGACTACATTTAAAAAGATTGACCATACCAAGTGTTGGTGTAGATATGCAAGAACAGAACTCTCAAACCCTGTTATTTGGAATGTAAAAACATTTGGGAAAACAGTTTACAGTTTTGAAAAGGTTAAAATATATCTACCATATAATCCAACCGTTCAATGTCCAGATATTTGTTTACACAAAAGAAATAAAAGTGTATGTCTATTGGAAAACCGGAAACAACCTAAATGGCCCATCAGATGAATGGATAAAAAAAAAAAAAGTGATACATTCACAAA